ATATACTATACCCTTTGGATAGCCCTGGTGGCCCAGTATTTAAGAGCTTGGCTGCTAACCAAAAGGTCAGCAGTTCAAATCCACCAGCCGCTCCTCGGAAACCCTATGGGGCATTTCAACTCTGTTCTATAGGGTCACTCTGAGTTGGAATCACTTCGACAGCATACAACAACAGCATAAAGCTATTCTATGACAGATGGCATCTCACATCATTGAGGATATATATGGTATTGGGACTACTTGAGCTAGGCAGGCATTTCTCAAGATAAGGCAGAATCCATACATCACATAGAATACCCCAGAAAACTCCAAAAAACTTCAAAGATGTAAATTTAAAATATGATACCACACAGACAATAGAAGAAAACATGGTAAATTCCTATGTAAATTTGGTGCCAAGGAGGCCTAGCTACGAATCGAACTTCAAAAGACAATTTATTAAAATTGAGAAAATGTATTATAGTTTTTAAAAATACACACTTCAAGGCAAAATAAGACAAAACAAAACCACTACAAACAAAGTTAAAAGATAATTGATAAACAGGAAAAAATATTTGCAGTTAATATGTCAAAAGGCTAATCTCTCTAATATATTAAGAGCTCTTATAAATTAAGAAGAAAAAAATCCAGCAACCCAGTGGACATGAACAATTCACATAAAAAGTAATAAAAAATTGCCCTTAAACACACAAAAATTATGTCAACCTCACTCATAATAAGAAAAGGTGAATTAAAAATTACACTGAAATGCCATTTCTCATTGGTAAGCATTCAAAAGTTTAACAGCATGCTCTGTAGGCAAGGTGTGGAGGAACAGACTCATAAATTGTTGGTGGGAGTACGAAAAGTTGCTGTCTTTACAGAGGCGCTGGCAATATTGACAAAAATTATAGAGGCATTTATACTTTGACTTGGTAATATCACTTCCAGCAATCTATCCTATTAATATACCTGCTCATATATGAAATGACATATATTCATCACATTATTATTCATTGTGACATTATTTGTAATAACAAAAAGTGTTAGCAGACGTGATGGACAGAAGAAAATGGATGCATGAGATATTTCTGATGGTAGACTTAATGGGACTTAATGATGGATTGGGGGTGGGGGGCAGTGAGGAGGGAAGAGCAAACAGCTTCCAGGCTTCCTACTTGAGGAACAAGGTTTTATGGTGGTGCCATTTACTGAAATATGGGGCACTAAAAGAAAAGCAACATTGTTTGGGAAGATAATAAATACTGTGTGACACATCATAGTAGGTAGACAGATACAAAGGCCCATTGCTCAAGGTAGACATCTGGACTAGTGATATAAATTTAGGATATGTTGACATTTTAAGCTATAAAAGTGGATGAGATGGGTTAAGGTGCGGGTGTAAAGTTCAGGTGAGAGGGCCCTGGAACAGGGTCCCAAGGAACATCAACATTTAAGAGCGCAGGAGTCAAATTCTGAGTGGTCAGGAAGGTCAAAAGATTCTGACTCACAGCAACCCCATAGAGTTTTCAAGGCTAGAAATACAGAGGCAGATTGCCACATCTTTCTGAGGAGCCGCTAATGGTTTCAAACTGCTGATCTTTTGTTAGCAGTCAATCACTTTAACAAAAGACAATAGCAGAGTGAACTGCAAAAACAAGGGTGTAATGTACAAGGTGAAATTGCATAAGAATGAAGTGTGACCAAACCAAAACCAAACCCACTGCCAGTGAGCGAGGCAATGACAGGAAGTGGAAGGAAGCCGATTTGTGGAATGGTTAAGGATTACTTGGTTGTATGGAAGACGAAATGTAGAGAAGTGTTTTGTTATTTTTTGCTCACCCAAAAGACATTTTTTTTACTTAATAATACCTTAGACTTAAATAGTCTTCACACATTTATCACACTTGAGGCTCACAACCACAACAGTCATCTGAGGCTGGCAGGACTTAGCACAGGTATGCATAAGAGAACCAGAACAATTTCAGGTACTCATGCCAGGCCTTCCAGCTAGAAAATTGCAAAACAAAGGGAGCAGCAAGGGCCAGGGTTCCTTTTCTTGCTACCTCACTCCTTGTCTATCAAGCTATGTGGCTCAGGAAGACCAAAGAATGGGGATTATTCAATTTCAGTGTATTCATTTACACCTGGCCTTCTTCTAGAAGGCATCTGAGATGACACACTGTAAGTTTTGTGCGTTTAAGTATACGCAGAGTGGAGTCCCTGGGTGGTGCAAAGGGTTAATGCTGCTAACCTAAAGGTTCCAGTCCACCCAGATGTACCTCAGAAGACCTGGTGAACTAGTTCAGAAAAATCAGTCACTGAAAACCCTATGGAACAGAGCCTACTCTGACATACAGAGGGTTGCCATGAGTCAGGCTGACTGGAAGGCAGCTGGTTTGGTTTGCTATATGCTGCACAGTGGTATTTACTGCATGTGGCTAAGCCCGCCTTTTCCTTCAGAGAATAATGGCCAACGGTTTTTAACGAAATGGGAAAGTTCCTAGGTATCTAATTAAAATTATTTCCTTTGTTATCAACAACATGTGGTGACCTTTATTTATTCCATTCTGTTTCCTCAACTGTAAAATACTAATTTGTGCACCTAGCCCTTTCTATGTTAAACGGGGATTTTGTTAACGCCTTGAAGTCTATTGAGTCTTTGGAAAAGACATGCTAATAACAACCACAATTTTACTCCTTAAAATTTTTAAAGAATCGAATGTAAAATGAAAGCGGTAGAGAAAGGGAAATTATCTGAATATTTCAGCTTCCCCAGTTCCACCGTTCCCACTTTGGGCCGTCGGACCGTCGGTTCTGCCCCCTCAGTGACCAGTGCCCGGCAAGGCCATGTCTTCGGCACCTCGGTGCGTAGTCCACGGCCTGGACGCACGTACCGCGCCGCCTCCTATCCAAACCCCTTGCTCCCGCCCTTGGTTCGCGGAGCTCTTCCCATTGTCCTTCAGGGCTCAACGTGAAAGGACACTATCGAGTTCAGTACGCTTTTGCACCTGGTTGGTTTAACTTTTTCCAGGAAACCCAGGAAGTCCAGTCTGGGCACGTTTGATGCTAAAGTCCCCCAGGGGCTGCTCCCCGCCACGGGATCCTGCATCTTCTCGAACCCCACAGTGATCTATTTTGCCCGGGAAAAGGGCTGTGCTGCACCAAATAAGACCACTCCCTTTCAATCCCAGCTCCGGGAATGCGCTGGCCTGGTGGGGTCTTTGCTGTTGTGTTCTTTAAAGTGGGAGAGAAGCTGGGGACGGAGAGGAGAGGCTTCAGATGAGAGAGGGGGAGAAGAATCCAGATTCCTCCAGGACAAGCGATCTGGACTATGATTTCCCCCAAAGATTCAGGAGACAGGAAACCTCAAACGCTGACAAACAATGGAAACACTACAAAAGGTCACCTCGGGCCCGCTCATCTACCGTCCTGCGGCGAGGAGAGCCTAGACACCCCCAACCCTCTCTCCACATACCACCCCGCAAGAGTAATCCCCGAAAGGCGCGTAGTCCTCTCTTTCACCTAAGGACACACACTTTCCGTCCTGTTCGCCCCGAGCGACTCCCCTTTCCGCGGCCTGAACGGGATACTGAGTCAAAAGTCGGACAGCAAATTCCTCGAGAATTGGCGAGAGGAGCCAAGGAACAACCCTGGCGTACGCAGCTTCCCAACTCGGACCCGGAGGCCACGGGTTTGGATGGGCGTCTACAGTTCTGCCTCTATGTGCCCTCGCTGATTACATCTACCGGAGGCACCTTACTCCTCCCCTTCTAGATAGCAGCGCCCAGGTCCCGATCGGCTTCCTGTCGACCCTCCCCCACCCCGAACCAACTCCATTTTTTCAGGGGTCCCCAAGGCCCATTAACCCCAGCTTTGCCCTCCACCCCCACTCCTGCTCCCCAGTTTCCCCTCTTCTCTCCAGTCGACCGAACGCGATGGCGGAGCGGCTGCTGCGCCGTGTCCCCTCGCCAGGAGCCGGTGATCCCGGCAGCCACTCACCATGAGGGTCAGCAGAAGCTGCCTGCAGAGGGCTCCGCTCGGGGAGCTCCAGGGTATGGCCGCCGCCATGGGAGAAGGCAGCGGGGCCGGTCGCGGGCCGGGGTTCCGGCAGGCCGGTGGGAGGGCTCGGCTGGGAGAGGTCGCTGCCGCCTGCGCTGGCCTCGCTGCGGAGGAGGAGTGCGGGGAGAGGAGGTGGAGCGCAGAGAGGCGCTTTTCTTCTGGGTTTCTCTGAGGCTCCTGTGTCTCTCCCAAGGGGCTTTTCCTCTGGCCGAGGGTGGGGCTCGAGACGAGTCTGAAAGGCACTGAGCGGCCCCTCCTTGGTATTAAGTCTTCATTTCTCTGAGAAAGCAATAGGTGGGAACTCCCTCTCGTCTCCACCCTGTTACCTGCGCTAGGTGTATTCTCTTCGGCGGACGCCACCTATGTTTCCCGTGTCACCCCCCGCCCCTCCGCCTGGAAGGATTAGGAGGCGGCCCTGCCCTGCAGAAGCCCTGACTGTACAAAGACTCACTCTCCCAGCGCGGCGAGAAGGGGCGCGGGTCCGGCGCGCTCCCCGGCCCAGTTCCGCCCTGCCCGCCGCCCTACGGGCCTTTCTAGGGGTGCAGCCGCCGCCTGCCGCGGTGCCTGCCCTGCGGTCAGTTACAGACACCAGTGGCGCGCGAGAAGTGAGGTTTTATGTCACAGCTGTCTTTAGCTTACATGGTAGAGGGTTGATTCCGGGGAGATTATTTTACACACTATTTACTGGGTGCTGTAGGCATCCAAGTGCGGTTACAGAGGACTTTAACCTGTGGCATACTTTTCTTTGGGATACTGATTTTTTTAGAGAGTTCATGGGCAATGTGAAATTGGCACAGGAAGATTACCATAACTTAAGAACAATCAATCAATAAACAAAAAAAATTTTTTTTCAAAAAAAAGATGAAGGTTATGGGAAAATAATAAAACCAAGGGCAAGTTAGTACGGCAAATGAACATCTTGGGGTCCTAGACGTTGACTAAATGGGCCACTAAATTTCTCCAAGAACCTCGCTTGTCTCAATTAAGGCGAGCTTGAGCCTTGTATAACTTATCTGCTGAATTAGACTCCTGAACATCTCCTACTGGAGATATCTCCCTTTCTTTACTCCTACTCCAAAACCAGAGCTTACGTGGGAAAAGAAACAGAATAGGCTAATTTACATTTTGATTTGAAGTGTACTTAAACTGGATGAATGATTGCTGCATTTAAGCTGGGAGAGTTAAAATATAAAAGTGGTATGTTTTCAGCTCTTCAGAAAGCAATGATCTGGCATTCTGAGTCACCCTCCTGCACCTCTTTTCAAGTACTGACTTAAGCCAGGTAAGTCTGACCACAAAGGAGAAATTTGTCTGTTCCATTTTGTTTGGTTTAAATCTCCTCAGTGATGTTTGGAGAGACCTGTTTGAAAAACTAACTATGACACTCACACTACTTCAGCTCTTGCAAACATTTCCCATCCTAATACCATTAAACACAGAGTCAAAATTATTTTAATATTGTGCATATATTTAAATCCCAAATTAATGTCAAACAATACATACATGCCTTATATTCTATGTATTAGTCCCACGCTCTGTCTTGTTACTGAATACCGCATAATGAGCCATCCTGTTGTTTCTTTATCTATAAAATTGTCATTGAAGCTTTGCTAGTAAAATAAGCTGGGGACATTAGTGTAAGGTCGTAGTTGACATCTTTCCATTTCTGTATTTTTTAACCCTCATGTTTTTCCGGCAATGATTATGAGCTGGACTCTCATAAATACACCTCATCCTATTAAGGATGACATCATGATCTCCACTGGGAAGCTTTTCAGATGACAGAAGCCAGCTAGTTTCAGGTTCTAGAAATCCACTCAGACTACCATCACAGCCCTTGACAATAAAACATTTCCAAACTCTTGCCTACCCTTTAACCTCTAATGCCTTAAGGGTGGCTCCTATTTTTCCTCATTCCAGAAAAGGGTGGAAGAGCGATTTGAATTCATCATAGATCCTTATTTTCATCTTTCACACTAGACAATTGATTGAGACTGTTAAAATGGTGATTTTTTTCCATCATGAAAAAAATGTCAAACAAATAAATGAAATATAAACTACTTAGAAAAAAAGGCTCAGTTTATTTAATGTATTTAAATGAGACTATATAGTTGCTGAAAGGGATTCCTCTATAAAAGAGTTTTGAAGTAACAGGCATAAATTTGAGAAGACAATGAAATATAGGTAAAAGTAATTTCTTTTAAAAAAAACATCTTTTGGCTATGAAGATGATTCTGTGGACTTGAACTGGCTTTCCATTGTGCTGTAGTAAAAGGCATCCCACACTAAGAGGAAGGAGTGACTTTCTTATGTCTTGGGCTGCTGAAGTAACTTTTGAGCCTTCAGCACTCCCATTTGTTAATGTAGGTAAAATAATACTGGATGCTGCCTAAAGTACCTTCCACATCTAAAATTAAACTATTTAGACTTCTTATGACAGATTTTTCGAGAATCATTTCTGGAAATGGGTCTTCCTTTCAGAGAGATCGTACAACGTCAAAGCCAGAATGCCCCTTACGGAGAAAATCTACAACCCAAGGTCCATGGGCCAAATCTTCCCTACCGAGCTTCACAATTTGCTAATTTCAGAAGCATATTAAACTAAGCATATTAAAGTCAACAAATAATTCCATTTACTCACTGATGTGTACATGGAGAAGGCTCTCCTTTTGCTGTGTGATTCCTGCCAGTCCTCCCACTGCTGGAGCCTGGGGAAGAAGGGCACAGAATGTGCACATGTAATGTTTAGGGCAGATTAACCTCGGCATGGCGTGTAACACAGAATGGAACCTAACAGCGAGGGAAACGCAGATGTAGGGAGAAAAAAAACGGAAGGGTATTGTCTGGTTACTTTATAGACGGGAGTAGAAAGGGAAACATTGTTAATCACAATAAAATGAGCACAACTGAAGTATTTCCTTCTCAGGGTTGTTGTGAGGATTAAATGATAGGTTGCATGAACAGAGCTGGCACATTCTAAGTGCTCCATAAATGCTAGTTAATACAGTTACCCACCACCTCACTCTTCCCCCATGCTGCTACTACATCTCTGCGACCTACTCAGATCACCCACCCCACCCCACCCCTATGAAAAAACCAACCAAACCCGTTGCTGTTGAGTGATTCCGACTAATAGCGACCCTATAGGACGGAGTAGAACTGCCCCATAGGGTTTCCAAGGAGCAGCTTGTAGATTTTAACTGCCGACCTTTTTTGGTTAGCAGACCTTAGGCTCCCTTTTTACTGTTCTTCCAAAATCTCTGCTTATGTGGCTCTTTGTCCTGGTCTGGGCCTGAATGCTAGCGCTGATTCACTCACCACTACCAAATCTTCAACTCCTTCCCCTTAACACCAACCCCAGGCCACATCTGACACGAAAGGGTTAGCTATGAAATAATAAAATTAGGTTTTGCAGTTTTTGTTACTTGTGTGCTTTTCTAAAATTCAGACATTTAAAAAAAAAAAAACCTTCCATAATGGGAGAATTTTTTTTTAATTTTTCATTGTTCAATAAGTAAGACATTTTTAAATGCTATTTCTATTTCTTTAAAGTTGGGTTTGTTTGTTTGTTTTTCCAAAATTGACCTCAATAAAACATATTGTACTAGTCAAACTCAATTTACATTACATTTCAAAGTATATTTTTTTAAATTAATCAAAGGTCAAGTGTGAAATAAAGTCAATCAATTCCTACACAGTTCCTTGCCCTGAGCAGGCTCTCAATAAAAACGTGTCATAAGCCAATGAACAAATTCTTAAGAATTCTTTAGAATAGGACTACAGATGCTTCACAACCTCTGGTCTGTCTTTAATAGATGTTGTTGACATACGCCCTCTAGGAATGTTAATATATCCTTCAAACTACAAAACTTTTATTAATTTGCTTTACTAATTAAATAATTTGACAAGTATTTATTGAGCATATACTACATCTCAGGCACTGTTCCAGGCACTGGGAATGCAGAGGTGAACAAGATAGAAAGGGCCTTTGCTTAAGGGAAGCACCTAATCAAGTATAAACATAACTGGGTAGGACAAGAATTCCTCTCAACCTGGAATTTACATCATGTTGAATCCTTTGAGAAAGAAAATTGAAAGAAGATAAACCTCGAGTTAAGTACAAAATGAGATATAAACAGCATTGTGTGAGGATGAAAAATTACAATATAAACAATCATTTGTTAATATTTGTTTATGGATTATGAAATGTCACCCTCTTCTTGAAGGACCAAGAGACAAGAAACTCATTATTTTGTGAGATAACCTGTTCCGTTTTGGAATGCATTTGCTCTTGACTTGTTATACGGCAGTGTCTCCTAGTTTCTTCCCTCCACTGCTGGCTGTGCCTATCATTCTTGGCTGGTTCACTCTACTCTATTTGACTTCTGAATTGTATTGCGCCTCTAGATTACCCTTCCTTCCTTCCTTCCTCCCTCCCTCCCTCCCTGCCTCTCCCTCTCTCCCTCCCTCCCTGCCTCCCTCCCTTCCTTCCTTCCTTTTTCCTTCCTGTGTGCCAGGGAATCACACATTGAAATGTCCTTAGGAGTCAGTCCTGTCACTAGTCATGTGATTGGAACTGAGGGTATACAATAGAATTTAGACGGGCGGGGATGCCTGTACCACCTGAGAGCTATCACATTAGAAAGAACTATTTAAACACATAAAAACTGCCTGTAGGCTGGATTTGCCAAAGGGCTGTCAGTCTTGAGCACTGTTGCATACGTGGGGAACCACTGAAAGGTTGTAAATCATGTAGCAATGAAGGCAAACATAGAAAACTTCCTTTTAATAGGAGGCAAGAGGAGACTGGAGGAATGGATGCCCGTTAGAAGACCACAGCAGATGTTTGGTCAAGAATCAGAGAAGCCTGGAATTAGGAGTGGGAGGTTTAGATAGAGGGGAGATGGAGTCAAATTAATCTACTGGACAAAATCAAGCAGGACTGGAGATTGATGAAATCCAATCATTCCCCAAACATTTACTCTGCCAGATATTTTGCTAGTGTCACT